GTGCTGGGGGATTGAACCGCGGTCCCTGATGCTTTTGCTAAGCTTGTTCTAAGTAGGTGCTTTAGACCACTGAGCCATCTCTCCAGCCCCCCAAAAAAAGTTCCTTTTAAAAAAATTATATTAGTCCATATTTTCTGTACATGATGATTATACTCATTATGAGGAATTGGTATGTGTGTAGAATACATCCTAATACTTTTTATGTGCCGCCTCCCCTCTTTTCAAAATATGTTCAGAAGTCTTATAGTCATTCACATCTTGAGCTCATTTTGTGTGGGATTTGAGTATATAGTTTCCTTTGCCTTGGGTTCAACTCTTGTATGAGTTCCTTTAGAATAATGCATGAATGAGCTTGGAGATTAAGGTATATAAAACATAATGAACAGCTGTGAATTCTCCACTAAACCTCAATCCTAGAATATTAGGAATATCATTCATCCCTTACATCTGCTTTCCCAGGGGTCAGTATGCCTGTATATTTGATGTGTTAACTTTTTTTGTACTCAGGAATTGAACTCAGGACCTCTTGCCAGGCAGGTGATGTGCCCTGGCCCCATTGGTTATACACAAAATAATCCATGCATTCTAAAAGTGTACTTCAAATTTCTCATCCAGCAGTATACCACTGTTTTTAGTTTGTACCTTGAAATGCACCTAATGCTGGGTGCAGTGGTATATGCCTGTCATATGGGCTGAGGCAGGAGGATTGAAAGTTTGAGGCCTGCCCTGGCAGTTTAAGCCTTATGCTCCATGAGAAGCCCAGGGAGAGAGTACCCTGGACTCCATCCCCAGTACTGCACATGTAAAGTTAGCTGCATATGTAAATTGGTGCTAACTGGAGTGACTATTTTCTACCTAAAAGCTATCCTTGTTAAGTTTCTAATAGGTGTTCCTTTACAGAATCACACACAGCTGCAAGAAAGGTATGCACATAGGTATAGTTTACTGGTACAGTAAACAATTTGGAATTAATCTAATTTGTTTAGAAATACAGAAATGTGTTGAGGATAGTAGCTTATAGGCAAAGATAAGCTCATTGGTTAAGTGAACAGTTTGACAGTGACCTAAGTGTACGATTAGTATAAGTACTGTGTGCTAACCGATTACACCACTGGAGCTTCAGTGTGCACCATTAGTGAATAATGTTAAATCCGGGTATCCAAAGGGAGCATGATGGTGTCTTGTGTGCGTGTTGCCAGCACAGTGCGTTATGTCTGCAGTGATTCATGATTTTCGGAAGACTCGAAGTGTGTCTAGTTAACTCTTCCAGTCACTGTCCTTAGTGGCTTTCAGAGGCTTTAGGTCAGTAGTGGAAAGCTTTCTGTCTGTTGTTGGGAGTGTTTCTTAATGGGGTGTATGGGGCCACTGTGCTACTGAGACCATTCTAGTCGTGATAATTGCCAAGCACAACTCTACCCTTAAACTTTTTCTTGAGTTAAGCATTATAGTAGCTGGGAAATAAAGCAGATTGCATATTCTACCAACTCAGTTAAGTTCCCTTTTTCTAATATACTAGGTGCAAGGAATATTGAAGAAGGACTTAGTGCTGCAGCTTATTGGGGAGGTTGTCACCAGGTGACCAGATGATTTTTATGGAATGGGACAGATGGGAGATAGCCAGAGATGCTAAGAGTGGGTGCTGTGGAGATGGTTTCCCAAGCCAGTACATGCATCCTTGCTAAAGCTTAGGAGGAGAGTGATGGAGTCTGGCAGTGGAAGTGGACTCCTATGATGAGGCTGCTTGTGTGCAGCTCCCTGTGGAAGGAACCCTGTGACCAAGGTCAGCACCGGGAATGTCAGGCGCTGGCTGAGCTGAGGACAGGTGGGCACAGAGGAGCTTTTCCTGGAGGGTTCAGAAGTACAGATGCTTAGCAGAAGCAGTGGGTGCAGATGTTGGGGGTGAGCAGTTCTGGGGCTTGCTGGGTGTTCAGCTAGAGGCTCCTGCAGCCCCGTGCTCTGTGCGGGAGCGGGGACGGGGCTTTGAGTATGCAGCTTTGCAAGGCCTGCTGAAACGTGTGAGCAGGCAGGCCTGAGCCTGTATCACTCTACTGCCAGCCTTCTCAGCCTCCCCTCTCAGAGTCTCTTACTTTATAAGGGAATTCTTTTTTTTTTTTTTTTTAAATTTATTTATTTATTGTGTGTGTGTGTGTATGTGTGTGTGTGTGTGTGTGGCCAGCTCAGCCCACCAGGGGGTGGGGCTGGCTGGCATGTGGTGCTGGGGATTGAACCGCAGTCGCTGTGCTTTTGCTTAGCTTGTTGTAAGTAGGTGCTTTAGACCACTGAGCCATCTCACCAGCCCCTCTAAGGGAATTCTGGAGCTGCCTCTCTAGTTTTCTGTGAGCAGATAGGAGAGGTAAATTGATAAAATCCTGTAAGTGCCATGGACTTTATGGTACTGACTCACGGTTGGGCAACTTTTATGTCAGGAATCAGTGTGCATGTGAGATTTTCAAGGTTGCCTTTTTAAAAAAAATGTATTTAGGACAGGGTCTACAGGGCCTAAACTACTTAGATGGGTGCGCGCCACCATGCCCAATCTCAATCACTGTCTCGGCGCGCCCGGGAGTAGGCCCGGCATACCATGCCAGGGATGGAACCATGGCTGCTGTGCTCTTGTCTAAGCAGGCACCGAGCTATCTGGCCAGCCCAAGTCTGCCTTTTTGAAAGACTGACATTTATAGAGAGTCACTTTCCTAGCGGTCATTTGTTGCTCATGACCCTGTAGGTAGATGACAAAAGGCTACTGTCTCTTGACAATAGGTACTGTCTCTTGACAAAAGGTACTGTCTCTTGACAATAGGCCCAAGAGACAGTACCAGGGTGAAGCCGGGGGTGGCAGAGCCTTCCAGCCCTCCTCACCTCTCTCTGATGACTATCTTCACAGGGTTCCCTGGACTTCAGAGGGCCAAGGAGGTGATGAGTGGCATGTTGTTGCTTAACAGGTGTGCCAGGTGTGGACATTGTATAATGGAGATCATGTTGGTGTTCTGAGTCTGTGAGGCTTTTGATCCCCTGTGGTAAAATTGGATATGGGCTGGACTGGACTTGCTTCCTTTCACATCGACAAGTTTCGTTACTGGCCAAGTGCGGTGGATTACTAGCTGTTGGTCAATTTATCACCCAGCTGAACTGAACCAGCGTAGTGCTGGGCATGGGAGGCCCATCTGAGGATTGTTGTCAGCAGCATAAGAGGCAGAACTGGAGAAGCTAGAGGCTGTTGGAAGTTGGTTCTTCTGGAGGAGCTTGACATACTGGCTTCCCTGATGAGCTCAGTTGATCTTGATGTCAAGGAGCTTACGACCTTGTTGCTGAGATTGGCTACAGTCACTTTGGGGGCGCTCTGGCCCTCACTTTGAGCATCCACCTCCTGACTGCTCAAATCTCCTGGAGAAGCTTGCTGCGCTGGCTTTCCTAATGGGGGATTGGCTGTTCTCATCACTGGAGGAGCTTGGGACCTCACTGTCGCTGAGATGGCCGTGAATCTTTTCAGGGGTGCTCTAGTTTTTCCTTTGAGCATCGCTTCCTGGCTTCATTGCAGATCGCTCAGCCTGCAAGCACAGATTCTTCATCCTGCTGGCATAGCCTTGCTAACTTCCACCACTGACCTTTGGGCCTTCCCAGTGCAGATCGGTGAAACAGGCCTGGATGAGTCATTGTCGTGGGCTGTAGGCCTCCAATTGGACTCCTGGGGGGCATTGCTATGGGCTGTAGGTCTCACTGGACTCAGGCAGGATGTTATCATGGGATCTAGGCCCTCTCAGCGTGATTCTTTGGTCTTTAGTGTGTGGACAGATTTTTCTGCACTCTTCTTGAACTTGACTCTTTGGGTGACTGTCATAAAATAATTCTGTAAATTGTGTGTCATGTATTGTTTGAAAACCCGACTACAACACCAAGTTACTTTTTCACCCTTATTATAGGACTAATAGTGCTTATAGGTATTTTTCTGGGATATTTTCAAGTCAATACATATAAATTATTACACTTAGTGTAATGTGCACTATTTAGGATGTCATTGGGCAGTCTGTATTTTTTTTTTTCCATTTTTCTTCCTCAATGAAGAGATACTCCCCATTTTTTAAATTGCTTCCCACACTGATGTGCTTAGTATAGATTGCACAGGATTATTTGAGTCAGTTCTAGTTTCCAGTGTTCTGTGAGCCTGTTTGTTCTGTGGATGTACTTGTCCGGTGGTATGACTTCGTTGC